GTGTGTGTTTAGGTTTCTTTTCTTCTTTAACCACCGAATATAATAATCCTTTTCTACAAACAGCGCATTTATAAACATTTAAGCATCAATCATTTTAATTGAAGATTAAATTTAATTGAAGGGATGGTAGAAAGAGTCTATTAAAGATATATTTGTATAAGAGCTTTATATAGTCATAGACATTAAACAAGGGTGATCTGTTAGCATTACCTATTACTGGCTTGTGGACAATTTTTAACAGAAAGGCTAATTTTTACAAGTTAAAACATATTGGTTAACAACATATTCATTCCTCCTCCTCCCCTTTACTTATTTCATTTATTCATTCAACAAAAAGTAAATAATTGCTCCTTGTGTGTTAGCTGGGGACAATCCAGGTTTTGTGGGTCCAAATTGCTAAAAGTTGGGGAGCCCTCTTTAAGGAGAAGAAGATGAAATTACTAACATAAACTAAGCTACAAAATCATATAGGATTCTAACTAAAATATCTTGTTTTTACCAGTTTTGCAAAAACTTAGGGCCATGTGATTACATTGCTAGGTTTCACCCAGGGCCCCAGATTAGCCTCATGCAAGTAAGGGGTCCCACAGCTTAAGTTTTGTCATCCACGTGGTAAATCCACCTCTGTGACTAAGCATCTAGGTATGAGGAATCAAAAAGAAGGACTCAGTTTGCTTGCTGTTAGGAAGCTCATAGGTCAATGGGAACACAGACATAGACACAAGACAGTGCAATGAGATCGTTGCTGGGACCTGTACAGAAAAAGTGTTTTTCTTAAAGAAATTTATTTAATTGATATGTATTGATTGTACATATTTATGGGGTACAGAGTTACATTTCCATGCATGCATACAATGTGTGATGATCAAGTTAGGGTAATTAGCATATTCAACATTGTAAAACTATCATTTCTTTGTGATGGGAACATTTGAGCTCCTCTTTTCTAGCCATTTGAGAACATCCAAAAAATTACTGTTAGTTATAGATGCCTAGTACTACTGTACACCACTAGAACTTGTTTGTCCTGTCTAGCTGTAATTTTGTGTCTATTAACCAACCTCTCCTCTTCTCCTCTCTAGTCACCACAATTCTCCTCTCTACATCTAAGAGTTCAACTTATTTTATTTTTACAGCACAGTGGGAAAGGGCCTAACTGCGGTGGGCAGGGCATTAAGGTGGAGGTGCTGCACTCTTGGATTTAAGTCATTTGGTGATTTCCTGACTCTAGCACATAGCGGAACTCCTGAAGAATGGCGTGACCCAGGGCATTAGAAAGAGAGCTCTCAAATAGGAACACGATAAAAGTTTCAACTTGAAAGGCATTAAATCATAGAGGAAATCTCATGACATAGAGCTGAGTGAAGACATAAATTAAGATAGAGCATGAACGCAGTTCTGAAAGCAAAACACCTAGTGCTATGGTCTCCAACATCTAAATATATTTAAACATTATCTAAAACAGGAAAACAAAATCTTACTGATTGCTTGCATCATACTGATGTGTTAAAAAATATATGTGGGATTCTATATTTTTAAATTGTGATGGATTTTGAGATCACATTTACCACCCTGCTTGGCAAGAATCCCAACACTTTGTAGAAGCTGAACAAATTTTTTACTGGTGATACCTTGGCCAGGATAAATGTATTTTTCCTTTTCATTATATAGATTATACTGCAGTAAATAAATCATTTATTTCTAGAAAAACTTGAGTTGAATTTTAATAGAAAACATAGTGGAGATGAGCCAAATTATCATCAGACAATATTTAGAATATCCTTCAAAAAATCTAACAGTTAATTTTTAAATGCCAAGACTAATTCATGACAAATTTTTCTCTCTTAGAGATATGTAAAAAAATGAGGACTACACATCTGTATAGACTGTATTAAGTCTGGAATTTTTAATTTTAATTTTATATAATTTTACTAAGTAGGACTGCCAAAGAGATGGAAGAAAACAAACAAACAAACAAACAAAAACTATTCTTTCAGGAGGCAGAAATCTCAATTAAATGATCTGTGTAAGAATTTTTAGCTTTTTATTTTTATTTTGTATTGTATCATTTGTATCCAAATACAGATTTAAATGAAAATTGTTGCAGTGGAGGCATGCCAGCTTCCACCCAGATTTCAGAAGACGTATGAAAAAGCCTGGGAACTGCTGCAGGGGTGGAGCCACTGTCGAGGTCATCCACAGAGCAATGTGGAGCAGAAGAGTGGGGTCAGAGCCCTCACAGGGGGGCCCCATTGGGGAAATGTCTAGTGGAGTCAGGATAGTGGGACTGCTGCCAGGAGCCCAGAACTGTGGGGCTGCTGGCAATGTGCAATGACAGCCTGGAAAAGCCGTAGGCACCAGGGCAGTTCAATGGGCTATACTTGGCAGAGCTGTAGGAGCGAGGTTGCCCAATGGGTTGGGGATCCAGATGCCCTAAAGTGCTTAATGTCTGCCTTGTTGGGGTTTCAGATTTGTTTGGGCCCTGTTTCTCCTCTTTCCTGGTCTATTCCTCCCTTCTGGAATGGGAATGTGTACCCAATGTCTGTCTCACCACTGTATTTTGGAAGTAGATAAACTTGGTTTTATTTTTACAGGTTTACAGCTGAAAGGAGTTTTGCCTTTAGTCTCAGATGAGACTTTGGACTTCCGAGTTGGTGCTGGAACAACCTAAACATTGTTGGGACTGTCAGGATGGAATATGTAATATGTGGATGCAAGGGTCAGTTATCCTTGCTAAGGGAACATCGTGGAAGATTCTGAATGTGTAGATTGTACATCAAGAGTCCCTGAAGTGATGGATTGTAGGGAAAGCGAAGGAAAAAGTCAGGGCCCCTCAGATGTTCAGAATCTTGCTGAGCATTTGATGTAAATATGCATGTGTGCCGAAGTGATCCTTGGTTATTGTCTAACATAATTGAGTACGTGCACTCTAGTGTCCTGGGTTATGGACTTAAGTATAAAGGACAAGTTGCTCTGATCCACAGTGCCTCCCACCCCCAGGGGGCCACAGGGAGGCCTCTACTGCTGCTGCAAGCTGTTGCTGCCAGTGGCCCCAGGATGCCCCAAGAGGCTGCCACCGCTGCTGCAGCTGCAGCTGCTACTGCTACTGCTGAGGACTGAGCTCATGTCATGTGCCAATGGCTCCCAAGATCTTTCCCAATTACCTAACGTGGACATGCGTGTGAGGGGTCTGTGACCCAGCCAGACATGTGAAGGGTCTTTGACCCAGTCTGTACAATGGGTTTAAAGGGTATGATTCCTAACCCTGATAGTACAATAACCCCAGCCAGACAATTAGTGTAGCAATTGCTGTAACCTGACAATGTGCTTCTCCAATTGTGGTAGTGAGAAAAAAGTCTGGAAAAAATTGAGAGTATGTGAATTGTCACACTGTTAATTGTTCACCTAAGAGTGATCAATAACTGCTTGTAAAGAACACCTAGAGTTCACCTTGCTAGTTTTGCAGAATGGTTATCAGATAGCATGACAGCTGATGAGGATAAAGAGAAAAGAGCTCCAGCATGACTTCATCCATTTGAGATGATCTATCAGGGTCTCTCAGGAGGCCCTCCTGTCGACCCTCAATGGAAAAGGTTGTTTGTGATAGGAGGCAGATTCAAGGATATTCCTCTTTATCA